ATCACGCGGGTGTGACGAACATCGCGGATATCTCTCTGTCTGACCAAGATGTAATCAATGAGATGCCAGTGCTTGGACCTAGGGTGCATCCAAGTTGTCTTCAGACTATCTTTCTGCTGAAAGATAGTGTTGGTGATGGTAAGCTGATGCTCAGCACAAAATTCTAGCAGAAGGCGACCATTATCATTGGCTCACGGCTCACTGCGGGGTCTGATAAACCTTTTTGGCCGAAAAGGTGATGGGAAAAAACTGAAGGGATGTGAGGACTTCAGGGACACATTGCAGCACCCAGATGGGTTGACATAAAAGACAAGGGAGGCAAGCTGGTGGTGGTGTCTGAACTTGCCCTCAGAAGCATCTACAGGGTGGGATTTGAAGATGTGTCACCAGCCATAAAGACGAGGCAAATGGTGTTTCTCTTAACAGGCTAAAACTGGAATTTTACTGACAGTTACTCATCTCCTTTTAAGTGTTTCAATTAGGAAAAGCATTTAAATCATTAACAGATAATTGAAGTTTAGGATAACTTCAGTCTTTCACAGCTTCTCTATTTAAAGAATAGGCACCACGTTTCACTTTCTTCTGGCGTTTCATTTACCACCCAAGAGTTCTCAAAAGTAACTCCTAATGATTTTATAATTTCATGTACTAGCACTGTAACTGACATTTCCAGTTTTTCCACACAGAGCCACAGATTACCACATAGACCTTTAGAGTGTCTTTAAGATTTTCTGGATTTTTCCCTAACAGTGATAACAGTCTCTTACTGTACTTTGACACAGGCCTGTAGCTGAATCACTTAACTCTCAGACCACAGATTAAAATCGTGGGAAATTCAAATGCATCTCCAAAAGCTTTTAACATTAAAAGTTATATTTAAATAGAATTCCTGAAATGTGTGTTTCTCATGATAAAACTGTGACTGAGAAATTTTTTATTGTATTTTATCCCACCCTTCGGAATACTTCAAAAGCTTAATGTATAAAATATTTTTCTTCAGTAGGGTGGCTAAAACTTCAGGGCATGAAAGTGTGCATTTTTTATAATTTATATTATAGCAGTGTTTCCAAAATGTCATGGTATATTAGTCTTAGTGTACTAAACCTTACCTGTATGTTCTCTATTTGTCCTAGCCTTCATAATTTTTTATTCGTTCCTACTTGTACATCTGTTTTGATTATGAGCAGAGTCATTGCACACCAAAAAGTACATTTCTAGGAATGGGCCAGCAACCAGGGAGAAAGATTGGTAGAGATCCAAATTGTATTTGAAAAAGGACTAAACAAAGATTTATTACTTTTACATTTACATTTTTCAAAACCTTATCTAAACATGGGGTTATGTCTCCTTGTTAGAAATGCTGTTTGGGTTTACTCTTTAAAAAAATTCGTCTGGTAAATGATCTTATCAACTTTTTGAGTGAAAAGAAAGAGAGATTTTATCAGTCAGTACAGATAAAAATATTCAATTTAAATTACCTGCTTAAAATTCAAGGTTGAGGAATGGAAAGAAGAGGAATATTGTGTTTGGGGAGGTTTATTTGTGATGATTTCATAGCTTTGATTGATTTTGCCCTTTATTAAATGGAGCATGATTTTTCACCTGCACAAAGCAATAATACGACATCCACTTGGGAAGTCACAAAATCTATAACAGGCAGAGAAAGGCAAAAATATTTCCAATTTGCCAATAAGTAGCTGAAAATCAGAAAAGGAGAAAAATCATGGAGGTATGAAATCTATAAAATATAGACATTAGAAATCCCACTAGGCCAAGCAGAACTGTTGAGTACTATTATGTATTAAGTTTTTCATATGTTGCAGGAACATGAAAATTCTAGTAAGGAACATGCTGGGTGTCACTAAAGACAGATCCTTAAAATGGGCTTTTATTACCTACTGTGGGACCAAGGCAGACTTTGGGCATCATCCTGCAAAGGACAATAATTGTACTGGGTAGAAACCTGTGTATTGATTGTTATCAACCACTGCCCAGTTTTATAAAAGTTATAATTCTGCTGGTAGACGGACTCAGTGCGTGTAGATGATTATGTGAACCCCAGTCCCACACAGTGACCGTATCTGCTTCCAGCAGTAGGTACTTGATTGATTCCCAGTTAAATCCTGACACTTCCCCACTAGCCCCAGCCACACAGCCTCTCGGGTCTCATTTCCTACCCACCAGCTCCCCTGCAGCAGTTTCCAGAAACTGATTTTTGCCTTCTGCACTGAAGGTGTTTCCATTCCTACGTGGACATGGCTGGTCAGGAAGAGTAGGCATCAAGATCTTAAGAGTGTGGATTTAA